CAACTCCCAGAATTCCCCAGCCAGCGAATGCTGGCTGGGGAATTCTAGGAGTTGAAGTCCAGACATCTTCAAGTTGACAAGGTTGAGAAACACTGATCTATAGACAGTTCTGGTGATGGAAGGACATACCTATCTGCAGATCATCTACACTGGGAAAGGATTCATTATATGAAGTCCTCCCATTTTTCTGACTTGTCTTTCCAATTTTTTGGCTACATAAGATTACAGAAGAAAAAACGTTTTTAGGAACTTTCTCCGCTCCTCATTCCGAGATGATTTTAGTTTAGCAACATCATGTTTTCAGTTTTATACTCCAGTTCGTCCCCTGGGGCATTTCAGGAGACACAGCTCAACATTTCAGAACGTTAGAGAAATGCTGAAAATATACCCAGCAAACTCTTCTTTATAATGGCTTCACCATGTCAAACCCAGTACAGTGCCTGGATCCCTCCATCCTTAAATATCCTTATAGCCACTTCTATTCTTAGAGAATGAAAATGCCCACATGATTTCTCTCTGTGTTTGTGTGTTTTACATTGTTTTAGGCAAAAAAAGATGCTCCACAGACAGCAAATACCAAGGTGAGTAATAATACAGACAACTCTGAGTTTTCTATTTGCCTACAATATTACTATAGTTTTTGATCGCCCATATTGATGTCTGTTATTTTTGTACCCTTCTCATGTAATCCTCTAATGCAGGGGTTTCCAACCTTGGCAACTTTAAGACTTGTGGACTTCAACTCTCAGAGTTCCTCAGCCAGAAAAGCTGGCTGAGGAACACTAAAAGTTGAAGTCTACAAGTCTTAAAGTTCTCACGGTTGGAGACCCCCTGGTCTAATGGATAAAGATGAATGTGCGAGGGTGCTGGAATAAAAGATGCCAGTATGCCATGTTTTTCTGAGGTTGTTTTGTCTTCTACTTTTTCCATTGATGGTCTTTGAACTTCATCTTCTCTGGAACAATTTTTTATTTATTTATTTTGTTTCTAGCCAACCGAACAGCCTGTCCCTGTTGTCCCTGTTACAAAACCGGAAACAAATGTGCCTCCAGCTCAGGAAAGTCCAGCAATGAAGCCAATTGTGAAACCTCCAGAAGCTCCAGTACCACCACCACCCCCAGCAGTTGTGGTTGTCACCAATGAAGCTCCCAAGGAGATGACCAAGGAAAGATCTTCTTCTACACCCACACCCCTAAGTAAATTCTTTTGGAAAAAGGTATGATTGGATTCTAGAGTCACTCCTTTGGAAGGTGAGAGACCGCCTACTGCCAATCACCTCCACTAGACCGATAAGATCGCATAGATTAGGCCTCCTCCNGAAGAGCTAATAATTGGTTTTTATCTTTCTGGGAGTTGATGGCAAGAGGAACTGATGTAATTATTACTTAATACAATACAATATTGGCTATGTAATAGTATACATGTGATTATATGTTATGAAAATGGAAAATAAAAAAACTGTTTGTCTAGAAAAAAACCTGGAAGAGGTACTGGCAACACCACACATGCCAGGCGACATGGCTCCATGTGCCACTTCGGGCATGCATGCCATAGATTTGCCATCACACCAATATAGAATCATTAGAGAATTCCAGATATCCATAAAAGGTTATAATGAAAGCATGGTGCCCCATTAATTTATTATATAGCCTCAGAAACTAGCCACAAATTATCCAAGGTGTGCCCTGGAGTTGAGTGGTAGATATGTGTGGGTTCCTTGCTAGATAAATGTATGCTCAAATAATATATTGTTGCAAATACAGGTAGACCTCGACTTACAACAGTTCATTTAGTGGCCCTTACAATGGCACTGAAAAAAGTGACTGTTTTTTGCACTCACGACCTTTATAATATCCCCATGATAATTGATCATGTGATCAAAATTCAGATTTTCTCAACTGACTCATACTTATGACCATTGCTGTGTCCCAAAGTCAGGTTTTTCAACCTTTGGACAAGCAAAATCAATGGGGAAGCCAGATTCACTTAGCAGCTGTGTTACTACTTATCAACTGTGGTAATTCACTTAATGACTGTGGCAAGAAAGGTCCTAAAATGAGGCAAAATTCACAGCACAAAGTTCTCTCTTAACAATAGAAATATTGGGCTCAATTAGGGTTGTGAGTCGAGGATTACTTTTAAGTGGGGGGAAATGCAATGTTACATAGTACCTAACAAAATGTAGAATTCTCTTCAGTGAAGTGAGATTTGTGGATATGAGTATTGAGTTTTATAAAGACATTGTGCATTGATGACTGCTGATGCCTGTGATGGGCAAAAAGAAAATAGCGCATGCAATGAAAATTCAACTTTGATTGATGTCACACAAAGGGATCTCAAACAGGCCATGGTGGGCAGCTTGCTGAGAAGACGGCGACTGATTCCCTTGCCAAAAGCACCAAGAAAAAGAAGCCAGACAGCCCCCGATTAGGACATAGTACATTTAGCAAACTGTTTAGACATAAGGTTGGTATGGGAGAGTAACACGGAGATCTAGAACCCTGAATAACAACAGATAACTTTTAAATCTTCTTATCCTGAATGCAAGCACGCAGCAGCTAAAGTTACTGAAAAGCAAAGCTTGAGTTGGACATTGTTTAGAATGGTTGCTGGCTTTGGCAAAGAAAAAATTGGGCAACAGGGAAGTATCATCACAATTCTGAATATTTATCTCTCCATTAATATCTGTGAATTCAGGGTTCAGTGGAAGGAACTGAAACCCACTGACTGCATATTCATTGCTATTTTCTGTGTCTTGTTATTGAGCCTTTCTCACTAACAAAACCTGTGTCGCCCTAACCAGAAAGCAATTCCATGCTGCCATTACTTTCACCCCATGAAACGATTTGAAGCTGAACTGTGTGGCTGTCTTTCCTTCTCTTTGAAATGTTGAAAACAAAGCATGAAATTCAGTGCCCTCCCCCAACCTGTCAATCATCCAATAACTCCCCCCCCCCTTTTGACCCATCATCACAGAAGAGGAAGGCAGGCAGGCAGGAAGACTCAAGTACCTTTGTTTTTCAATCTTGTTAGTCCTGGATTGAAGAAAAGGAAACTAAATTCCTTCCATATGAAAAAATTGTTAGGTCCAGTTAATTCAAGCTCCCTATAAAAAGGAGCTACACTGATCATAGAACAAGAGCTGATTTTAGGAAATCTTAACACAACTTGCCCTAATCTGGCAACATTTAATGTGCTGTAAGCACAACTCCTTGAATTCCGGCATCACCATGGCACCAATACCATGAAGGCTGCTTTGTAAGATGAAAACATGAAGGATTGCCTTGGCATAGATTCTTACGGTATTTCCTGGGAAATGAGTTTTCCTTGCTCAGCGCTGCTGAGTTTCTCTGGACTCAAAAGCAAGCACAGATGGAGCTATTTGGTCCTTGGATGGGACACCGTTACAAAACCCAAGACAACAGGCTATAATGCACACATCAAAACATATTCTTGGGGTTCCCTCTTGGGGAGGGAACGGTGGCACCGGTTTTGTATGGTTGCCAAGAGGAGTTGCAAAACCAACAAACTCGTATTAGTTTCACAAGACAGTGTCCATATAGTTACCACGAGGCCATCTCTACTCAATGGTGTAGAGTACCTGAATTGGTGCATTCTCTTCATCAAAGATACTGCATAACCTGAAAATAATGCATACAGATTTGCTTCAGATACTCTCACCTCCTCCTAAGCCTTCTTTTTTTCAGCATTACATCATAACACTAATTTGAACCTCCAACATTGCCTAATCTCAAACACTAATATTGATATAAGTGTTTCCTTTTGATTGCTGATATGGTGAAATCATTGTAAGTTCAGATCACGCAGATTCAGAAGAACATCAGAACAAAGACTCAACTGGCCGAACATAATGTCCCATTCATTACCAGTCTCCTGCTGGTAAGGAGAGCCATACTGTCTCTTCAATTGGAGATATTTAACCATCAGGATGACGGGACATTGATTGCTGTATTGTTCATGAATTCCTCCCTTTTGAAGCTTTCCTATTTTGACATTTATCATTCCTCTTTGTGATCCCAAATTGCAAAACTTAACTGTGTTAGCCTATCCCGATTAAACCTGTCTGGATATCAGCTACCAAAATTCTCAGCCTTAGCCTAGCTAAGCTGGAATTCTGGAGATGCATTCGGTCAGAGCAGAAGAAGCTTCTTGGATAAGGAGCGAAACGTCTTCAAAGAAAAACCAGAAAGTCCAGTTGCCCCTTGAAAAAAAAGCACCTTTGGGACAACCATGACTTGGATGAATGAGAACATCTAAAGCAGTGTTTCTCAACCGTGTCAACTTGAAGATGTCTGGACTTCAACTCCCAGAATTCCCCAGCCAGCGAATGCTGGCTGGGGAATTCTAGGAGTTGAAGTCCAGACATCTTCAAGTTGACAAGGTTGAGAAACACTGATCTATAGACAGTTCTGGTGATGGAAGGACATACCTATCTGCAGATCATCTACACTGGGAAAGGATTCATTATATGAAGTCCTCCCATTTTTCTGACTTGTCTTNTGAGTTAGGATTAGCGTTGACTGGGGAATTCTGGGAATTGAAGTCCAGAAGTCCTAAAGTGAACAAGGTTGGACAACTCTGGCCTAAATCTTCCCTAGAGGCGGATCTTGGAGCCCAGGATCCTGTAGAAAATTCCCAAAAAGGTCCAGGAGCAAATTCCCAGATTTGCTACCTGGAAGAGGTTTCAAACACACCTGTCCTGCCATTGCTTGGGAACGACCGCCCCCTGGTGGCCAAATAGGACAGTAGCAGGGCTGGTCCTTCAGCTGGCAAGTAGAATCCTCTCCTCGGTTAGGTGTGCAAACTAGCATCCTTTGGCCTAAAGGCTTGTTCGTAGGTGTGCAAGATGGGAAGCAAAGGTCATGGCTTCTCGGCAAGACTCGCTGCTCCTCAGAGGATTTATCCCATGACACTCGATCCGTGAAATGGGCCCAAGGCAGGGACCCCTCCGGAGGTTGGTCCACGCTGGAGGCACCTCGGACCCTGGGGCTGGCACAGCCCACCCCCACCCCTGGCACCCGTTGCGTTCCTTGGCTTTTGCACCAACACATCAGCTCCTGGCTGCCTCTCCTGGGGTCCTTGGAAGCAGAGGCCAGGTGGTTCCCCCCTCGCCTCCCCCTTTCCTTAGAGACCCTCCCTCCCTTTGAGTCCTTCTGGGATGCTCCTCGTGGCTCCTCAATTCCCAGTTAGAGGCCCCACCTCTTTTCATTCATTCATTCATTCATTCATTCATTCATTCATTCATTCATTCATTCTTTATTTATTTATTTATTTATTTATTAGGACCGGGCCTTTATTATTTTTAAAAACAGATTTGACAAACTTTCTCTTATTTTCCCCACAGCAACAACCTTGTGAGGTGGGCTAGGCTGAGAGGGAGGGAGGGAGGGAGGGAGGGACGGGGCCTAAATCACCCAGCAGGCTGTCACGGCTAAGGCGAAACTAGAACTCGCCGTCACCTGGTGATTGGCCCCAAGTCATTCAGTCGGCTTTCATGCCTAAGGCAAGGACTGTCTCTGGTCTCCTGGTGATTGGCCCAGTCACCCAGCCCACTTTGGTGCCTAGCGCAGGGCTAGAACTCACTGTCACCTGGTGATTGGCCCAAAATCTCCTAGTTGGCTTTCATGCCTAGGGTGGAATTAGAACTCACCGTCCCCTGCTGATTGGTCCAAAGACACCCAGCTGGCTATCATGCCTAAGGCGAGGACTAGAACTCCCCGTCTCCTGGTGACTGATGCAAAGTCACTCCTCTGCTTTCGTCTTAAGATGGGACTAGAGCTCCCCATCTCCCGCTTTCTAGCCAGGCACCTCAACCACTAGGCCAAACTGCCCAGCAGAGCCTCACCTGAGGAACTCCAGGTCGTCCCATCCGTTGTGTATGAGCCCTTCCTCGTATCGCTCCATGCCGATGGCCCTCAGCCATTCCCCCACGCTGGACTCGCTCTGCCTGGAGCCGCCACTCTGCCCCTCCTGGGTCAGGGTCTGCGAAGGAGCAGCAGGAGGAGGTCAGAGACCAGGCGGGGACGCCCAGAGACCCCCCTGGCCTTCCCTGCAAATGCGGAACGTGGGGGGGCACAGAGGCCTCCTGGCACAGGCGCCTACCTCTTCTGCTTCCTCAATGCTCTCCCGGATGGAGCGGGCAGGGAAGCCTCCGGCGCGGCTGTAGTCGGGCGGAAGGCAGCGGTGGGCCAGATC